GGCCTTGGTTAATTTAACTAAAACTAGCGTAATTAATTATCAGAAATATAATAAAAAATTAGTTGTAATCTATATAAAGGGATAGGTTGTTCTTGTTATAACAAAAAAAATTGTTTTCTTCTACTTTGTCTACCTGTTACGCTTTTTGAAACATTTGGTTCCTTTGATTGTTCAGGACAAAGCAAAAAAAAGTGATATTCCTATTTGTAAAAATTAACAGATCCAAACAAGCTTGCTTGTATCAGGGCAACGCTCTGAATGTTCCGACTGCTTTTAATTTCTCTCAAACATTTTTTGATGAAATCTTCAACCAAAAATCAAAAGACAACAAATTTCGAAAATAAAAAAAGAAAAACAACAGTAACAGTAATTTAACAGTAATTTTGAGTTATAGTGTCAGAACAACAGTAATTTTTTGTCCTTCAATTTGCATTCAAGTGGTCTACAAAACGCAACTTCAATTATTTAGCTGAGGAAAAATGCGTTAGTGAATTGTCAAATTAAAAGTTTGATAAGTCTCACCTTTTTATTTGTTGTCTTTCAGCACTGAGGTATAAAATACAATTCAGTTTTGTGTTACTTTTTCTCCACTCAATGCTTTAATGGAGTGCAAGTTATATGACTAGCGTCCAATAGAACAAATTTTTTACGAAATAAACTTTATCTTTCCAGTTAACAGATTAAAATTCTTTGCGCAAAAATTATCCAAATTGCCCAAATGTTAAATTGAATGTTGTAACAATTTAGAAGGGCAAAAAAAATTTATATGCTTTCAATTGCTTGGAGTTAATGCAATACAAAGCTATAGTTAGCTAAGTCAAATCAGAACTCCTCCCAAACTTAAAAATTGATAGTCAAATGTATGAGATTTGATTTTCTGTCAGAACAACAGTAACTTTTTGTCCTTCAATTTCCATTCAAGTGGTCTACAAAATAAAACTTGTCTACAAAAAATGAGGGAACATTGATTTGATTCAAACTCAATAATGGTAAGCAAATCAAAAAAAAGAAAACAATTCTTTCTTGTTTTTTTTTTGAATTTGTTATGATAACACTCTCTGCTAACCTCGTGCTTTAGTAAATAATGACTGTAAATATTTGTTCTCTTACAGTTTCAGCGGTTTGTCTGATCAATTTTAAGCATGAAAACAATCGAAAACTATAAATAGTCTTTTTTCAAACTATACATAGCTCATTACTTTATTTTGCCGACAAGTTAATCAGCCAACAATTTTTGCTTTTTCTGTCCGTGAACAAAAACTTAAGGCAACAAAGTTAGTTAGAAAGTCCACTGACATGGCTAGAGAAAAACTGAATATCTATGACTTAAAGAATAAATTTTCTTTTTACTAATATAACTATGCTTCATACTTGCTTTGGTATAATAGCATAACAAAGATAGTAGTTACTGTGCAAGTGGCACAGAAAAATCTGACCATAGTCGAAAAAATACACCAATGTGTTTTTTCAAATTGTTGTCGTTTTTTGAGCAAACAGTTGGAGATTAGGTATATTCGACAGTCATAATAAAATACGCCATGAAAAACAATTTTCTCTAGAAAAATAGCTTGAAAACTGAAAACCATCGATTTTAAACTGACAAACTAGTGTTATTCAATATCACTAAGTCTTTATGTTTGGAATTAGGCTATTTATGTAAGCTTTTAGGCAGTTAAAATAAGAATTACGACGGTAAGAGCTTCAATATGATTTATCACTCAACCCTGTTCGATGATTAATTTGCGTAAAAAGCATAAAGAAACAACTGAAACTCACCCATATACAAAGTTCCTTCCCGTTTTAATTGGTTGGAGCAACTACATAAGTTTTATTATATTAAAGGAAGAAAACGTTATCCAACGCAGTACTAAAAATTTTGTCTTACTTTTCAGTTCCAGGATTTTCTTCGGCTTACGCTAAATATCTGTGTAAACTTTTTGCTAAAACTTGAAGCAAGTATTATTGAAATTGGAAATTAGAGGATAAAAATATGAATTTTTCCTTACCTTTGATCACAACTGTTTTTATTTGAAAGGAAAGCATCTTCTTAGATAACTACCATCGTTTCTATTATATTGACTGCATTTTCCATCTTATTTTTTCGGGTTTAGTCAGAAAGCTTTTTCTATTAGTAAATTTTTTTTCACCATCTAAAAACGTTTTACAATACGTTGTGCATATTTGATATGATACAATCCAAGGATTACGTCTCAAAAGGCATAATTCCCAAATGGCATAAAAATTTTAAAAATTCCCAAATAGCATAAATTTCAAAAAACTTCCCAAATCGCATAAATTTCAAAAACATTCCCAAATGGCATTAAAATTGTTAATTTCCCAAATGGCATAAACAGTCGAGTTTTTGAAAAGTGAAAGTAAGATTTAAATTTACTTGTAATTAATAGAACCGGAATATTCAACAGAAAGAAAGAAATCAAATGATTTTTAATTTTTACAAGTTTTGCAGATTTCTGAAATACTATCCCAATATTCGTCAATAACAAGCGATTGGGTTTCGAATCTCTGTTTCACGTTGCAAATCATTGCGTTTAGGTTTCTTCTTTTTTTCTTTGAGGAACATCAGCTTGGTAGTCCAATTGCCTGTAGATCTTCTTGCCAAGTTTTCTTCATTTTGAAAACTTTTAACAAACACCCCAAAATTTGGGCGAATTCGACGACCTACTCGTTTATTCAGACGATTGTTGTAGCCTTCACATGCATTTATTGATCTCAGAGTGCTCTGCCTGGTATAAACGTTGTAGATATTTGGTGGAAATTGATGTAACCAAGTTGCCTCAGAAGAGTTCAAAAAACACTAAGGTTTGTAAATCTGGAAACCAGTAATCTTGTCGGCGGACGTTTCTTGAAGTACCTCATTATCAAATAGTTGGCGGACATAAAAAACTGGCAGAAAACCTATGTCAATGAACTTTCGAATAAATTGATTAAGTCTTCTATCATTTTTGTAAGGTGTAAACTGCTTTGAAGAAATGAAAATAACATCCTCGAATTCTGACTGTTGGGAAGTCTGTTTCTACTGCTGCCTGAAACACAAGAATTTCGAAATTCTGCTGCTAGTGGTCGTAGATGGTGTTTGAGGTCAACATAGGGATCATGTCTGAGACGGTTCTGGGGGATGTCGGTCTCGTTGGTGTCGAGTTGAAGAGTGCCTGTCCACTGAATTTACTAGTTAAAATCTATGGACAGGCACTCTTCACCTCGACACCAACTTGACCGACAACCCCCAGAAACGTCTCTGGTGGAAGTCCCATGGTGGTCTCAAAAACTGATCAAGTTGTTCAGGTTAGAAGTTACAGAAATGTTGTATCTCACCTCGAATCCAATCTCAAAGTCGCTGATAATTTCTTTGATTTTTAGTTGCAGGTCCATTCTGTGGTGTTTTCTTGATAATATTTGTAACAATCGTCGATATATTCCCGTCATTTTATTTTGAAGCAAACACCAAACCAAGGAAATTTATGATTCTCCAAATACTCCAAAAATAACATAAACTTGGTGAAAAAGTTTCAGTGAAGATTTAAAAGTTTTATCAGAAAGAATAATTCTACATTTCAAAAGCGCTTTATATTGCCACTTCCTTGAAAAATGACAATACCCCACTCTATGGCGATTTTCAACAAAAACATTTTTGCATCCTGCGTTTCTGCCCATTCATCTCGAATTCTTATTGATTCCATACTTCTGAGAATTTTTGGCATCAGTGCGTGTCATTGGCGATACAATGTCGATTTTAACTTTCTGAATGAAGAAAGACTTGTATCACTGGTTCCGGCTACAAATTTTGTTCAACTTTGGGCAACTGACTCGAGCGGGTCTTGAGAAATTTCCGAAAGAATTTTATTTTTTAAAGTGAGATCGTTATAGCGGTTATAGTCGGGCATATGGGCATGAGAACTTGGATAAGTCAACAAGGTATCCATTTCAATATTTGAAGCGAGTCTGGATCCGCATTCAGTTTTAGTACAAAGCCAAAAAAAAATTTTGGTTGTAGCTGCGATTTTGTTTTCACGCCTCAAAGTTTTCACACATTTTTTGAAATTGTTTATGCCACTTGTGAATTAATTTGTTTTTATACCATTTGGGAAATTAGCCAATCCAAGTGTTTTTTCACAAACTTTACCAAAAAAAATTTACATCCACTTATGTAGAGCTTCAACTTCTGCGGAGGCATCAACGAACTTATTCAATTGCTACATTGTCTAAAACTATACAAGCAAGATTTAAACTTACTTGTAACTAATATAACCGGAATATTCAACAGAAAGAAAGAAATCAATTGATTTTTAATTTTTACAAGTTTTGGCAGATTTCTGAAATACTATCTCAATATTCGTCAGTATCGAACGATTGAGTTTCGAATCTCTGTTTCACGTTGCAAATCATTGCATTTAAACCTTTCCATTTTTTTCTTTGAGGAACATCAGCTTGGTAGCCCAATTGGAATCGCCTGTAAATCTTCTTGCCAAGTTTTCTTCATTTCGTAAACTTTTAGCAAACAACAAGAATTCGGGCGAAGTCGACAACCTACTCGTGTATTCAGCCGATTTTTGTAGCCTTCACATGCTTTTATTGTTCTCAGAGTGCTCTGCCTGGTATAAACGTTGTAGATATTTGGTGGAAATTGGTGTAACCAAGTTGCCTCAAAACAGTAAAAAAAACACTATGGTTTGAAAATCTGGAAACCAGTAAGCTTTTCGATGTTTCTTTAGTACCTCATGAAATTTTAGGCGGATTAAAACACTGGTAGAAAACCTATGGCAATGAAATTTCGAATAAATTGGTTAAATCTTCTATCTTTTTTGTAAGGTGTAAATAATCCCAAGTCTTTAATTTTTGACAAAAATGCTTTGAAGAAATGAAAATAACATCCTCGAACTGTGACTGTTGGGAAGTCTGTTTCTACTGCTGCCTGAAACCCAAGAATTTCGAAACTCTGCTGCTAGTGGTAGTAGATGGTGTTTGAGACCATCATAGGGATCATGTCTGAGACGTTTCTGGGGGATGTCGGTCAAGTTGGTGCCGAGGTGAAGAGTGCCTGTCCGCAGAAATTACTAGGTAAAATCTAAAGACAGGCACTCTTCACCTCGATACCAACTTGACCGACATCCCCCATAAACGTCTCTGGTGGAAGTCCATGGTGGTCTCAAAAAAATTTCGGCTAAAACTTTTTTGCAACTTTGGGCAACTGACTCGAGTGGTTTTGAAAAATTTTCGAAAGAATTTTAGTTTTTAAAGTGAGATGTTTATAGCGGTTATGGTCGGGCATATGGGCATGAGAACTTGGATGAGTCAACAAGGTATCCACTTCAATATTTGAAATGAGTCTGGATCAGCATTCAGTTTCAGTACAAAGCCAAAAAAAAATGTTGGTTGTATGTAGCCGCAGTTTTCTTATAGAAATATACGTCATAATTCAAATTGCAACCCCCTCCCCCTTTGAGAACTTCAATTTGGCTCATTGTTCAAAAATCTATTGGTTCTTCTTGAAATAAATGTTGATGAGTGATTAGTAATTTGTTGACAAGTGAACAAATTAAGGCGTGAAAACTGTCTGGAAAGATCTTACTTTTTTACGCCTCAAATTTTTCACACTTTTATTGAAATTGTTTATGCTATTTGGGAAGTTACCCAATCCAAGTGTCACGAAATTTGCCAAAACAATTTACATCCACTTATTTAGAGCTTCAACTTCTGCGGAGGCATCAACGAACTTGTTCAATTGCTACATTGTCTAAAATTATATTATAAAATTACTTGGTAGTTTCCTTTTCCAAATATAACCAAACACTGGACGGTAGATGATAACCTTGAGATAAGTTTTTTAAATTTGCCTCTTTTAAAAGCGATTTATTTTTGGAAAAAAACATGGTACAAGCTCTGAAATTACTAGCCCAACTTAAATATGTTTTGCCGGTAAGTTGAAAGTTTTGTAAATGCCAAATATGTAAAGGAGTGGAAGGTTTTTGTCCTGACCTCTTCTCCTGAAATCGACACAAACGATTAACACATTTCAATTGTACATATAATGACAAAAGATCGAATATTGTCTTACCTGAATCAAAACCAAAAGCTTAAAGTTTTACAAAATTTGAATGGGATTTAGCACCGAAAATTTAAGAAGTTGTTTATGACGTGATTTTACAAATATACATACAGGTTACGACTAGACACGCTGTTTTGCGCTATATTTTTGTGCTAGGCATACAGTTTTTTAAGATTTACAAAAATCCAAAGTATTTATTTAGCTCGAGTTGGTCATATTCTAGAAAGTTATATTTTGGGTAATATGGCGGTTTCAGATTTCTTTAAGGTCTGAAAATTCAAAGCGGAATTACATGGTTAAACAGTTAAAAATGATCTTCTTTCGGTTCTCTAACTCGAATACCATTAGATTAGATTGGAAACAATATTATTATTATATGGTTATTTTGACTTACAGTGGGTTAGAAACAATTTAATTGACTAAAATATGTTTGAGTGTTTTAAAGTTATACTCTATCAGTTAACATAATGAGCAGAACACTTCATAAAGGTGCTGATTACTAATAAATTGTCGAACTTGGTTCCGCGTGACTTTTTGCAGAACTTCATTTTAGCAAAGCACATTTTAGATAAAAACGGATTCAGATGATTTTTATTCAAGTTTGTTTGGTCTTCTCTATTAAACTATTAATATAAATTACAAATAAGAAACTCCAATTTTGTTTGAGACGGTAAATGGAATTAAAAAAGCAATGAAATTTACAAATAAAAGAACCAACCGTCTAGATACAGTAAAAATTACTTTTATTAGTTAGTTTTGTGGTTAAAATAAATCACATCTAAATATTTTATAAGCCTGCTCGCTCGCCTACACTGCTTGATATTAGACAAAAAATAAAAAAAAACTTCGACAAAGGGAAACCCTTTTGATTGTTTTCAATGTCATTCAAGTTACGACGGAAAGGGTTCTAAATGATGTAATTTTCAACCTCTTCCGAAGGTTATTTCATGTACTTGATTTTGCGTTCACAATTAGCTGTTCGCAACCATTAGCTGCGTTCACAAAGTGACGTTAGGAAAATGTTTATGTTCTTAACCGTACTAAATTATCTGCCCTTTCTCGGTTTTATAAATTGTTCCAACTTTCACAGCCGAGAACACGAGAAAACGTTCGTGGATGCTCTGTTGAACAAGACTCTGAAACACAGTGCACCATTTGACAGTGAATTATCTGCAGTAAACGAGGTTTGGGCACGGATTAAAAATCAGGCTCCTATGATCTGATAATTTTTCAGTATACCTTCTGCAAACTCATTAAAACGAGTATATTGATTTTTTAGTTGTGCGGCGTTGCATTCTTTGGTAACGATAATTTTTTTTGGAAACAATTTTTTGCTAACAAAGCCCACAGCACCTTACGAATTGAAATTTGTTTTTTTCCCGGTATCTGAATTTTTGAAGGATGCCTGGTTTTTATTCTGTCTGCTTGTGAGGTGCGATTTGTGGTTGAACTGTTCCAACTGATGGACATTGACGAGCGACGGAATTTGGCCAAGATGCGCATCTGGCTGGAAGAGAGCTACTCCATTCCAGCACTGGCTTGGGATCCCGAGGACTACGGAGGTATGACTGGACGTAACTACACTTGATTACTTTATTAAACCAAAAAATTTATATCTTTATTACAAAAGCTTTCATTCACATGAATTTTTTGGCATTTTTTGGCAGGATAAATGGAAAGATTCTCATTTGGAAAAAAAACTGAAAGAGAAATGGAAAGACCCTTAATGGAAAACAAGGCCCTCTCTTAAATAAACAATTTGATCCTAGGACTGGAGCTAATCCAGCTGGCGCCCCTCTCAGTGTGGACTCCAGACATTGTGTTCCGGGAGGTGTCCAGCATAGAGCACGACGCGAACACGCAACAGGGCATCTACCAGGACGGAACAGTGACTAGTAGATCCACTGTGCTCACTCTCAACACATTCTGTCCAGTCAATATCATCAAGTTCCCCTTCGACACTCAGGTGCGAGTGAATCAGTCCGAGAGGGAAAACAAAATTGTTCGTGTGCTCTTCAAATAGGACAGAGTGTTCCGATCACAGTTATTCTAGCACAAAAAGAATCCAAAAAAAGCAACTTTAGAAAATTAATTCTAAAAATTATGAAATGTTAGACTTGTTTTTCAAAATCTTTAAAAAAATGAGAATTTTTTTTTCAAATTAAGTTGACAATTCTAATAAAAAGCGTCCGATTAAGTCGTATCAATAGCCATTTATCAGCCGTTCAAACGAGGAGCTGAAATATGTTCAATAAATGTGTGTCTGAAATTCAAAAACTCGAACCCGTTTTTTTTTCGCGACAATAAGATGGGGTATCAAGCTTTTTAGTCGAAATCTGAATCGCTACAAATGGGGCGAACTTTCAATAAAACTAACGTCTGGCGAAAAACCCTCACTCAAAACAAGTGACGACGTCGGAACAATACCAAATGTTTCATTCATCATATTTGTTCATACTATCAGCGCAAAAGACAAAATCGAAAATATTAAGAATCACTTAGTTTTTTCCAAAAAAATTGGTATAGAAGAAAATATTGGAAAACAAACTAAATTTACAAATACTGCAAGAAGATGAAAATGTAACTATAATGAGTGTGCTCACTAAACGCAAGCTAATTTTATTTTGACAAGCTATTTTTTCAAATAGGGAACTAAAAATCATTGAACCATAAACAAAATACACAAATCAGGATAGTCGGTTACTGTGCTAGTTGCACCAAAAGCTCCTATTACAATACCAAAAACAACAATTTTTTTTCAAATTGTGTCGTGGTTTTATTTCGAGTTCTTTTTCTAAGTTTTTATGTGAAAGTCTAAATTAAAAACCTAGAGCTTCAATAGTCGTAAAAAGTAGGTATGTTCTACAACATATATTTTTTCCTCGCTGTAAGGCGCTAAAATTTTCATGAACTGAAATTACACTAGTAAATTTAAGTTTTGTCGACTAAATAAATGATATCTTGCAAGACATTAGAAAAAAATCAAAAAATTTTGTACTCTCACTTCTAAGGATTTAGTTTATGAAGTTTTTGTGCCTAATAATCAAAAATTGTTTTGTTTTGTTTGTTTTAAAAATTTTTTTCTAATCAAATTTAGATCTAGAAGAGTTACACGCAAGATAAAGCTTTCGAAAAAAGTTCAGCTGCAATTTTTTTGTGCAAAACTTTTTCATTTGTTTCCGTATTAAACTTTGCCGGCTCAGTCGCAGATTGATCAATTATGTGTTTTTTTTTGTATTCTGCCGTCTGACAGAAATGATAGCAGCTATACATCAATCATTTTTTCTTTTTTTTTCCACCTTTAATTGCTATTAATTGCTTATAATTTTTTGCTCACATAAATAACACAAGGTTTCAATAAAAGTTCTTTTTTCCTTCCGCTGAAAGTGGGATGGGAATGAAATTTGTTTTCGGGCGTGTTTTAAGATTGTTGCAATTTTTTCCCCGCACAAAATCAAGCACCACAAATAGTTATCGGATTTAGGGTTGATTTATTTATCATACAAAAGCTCCTTAAATCTTTTTTTGATTGACAAAAAAAATCACAATTTAACGTTTAGTCGAAATCTTTTTAATTTTAAATTTCGTTCAGATCGCGGCTGAAACAGCTTTTATATGATTTATGACTCCACGCATTCCGAATCATAAGTGCAAAATTCTTAATTCTTTAAATTTCTTTTTTCTGACAGAAAAGCTCTTATAAGATGAGCTCTTTATTGTTGTTTTTAAAATGAGTTTTGCATCCGCTGTTAGGAGTGCACCATATCAGCGGGACAGTGGATGAGCAGCAACCGGTCTTACGTGCTCTCTGGCTACTATGAGGGCCAGCGGGAGGCGGGGAGGGCCAGGGACAGTCTGGCAGAGGACAGTGGCCAGTGGAAGATAGAGGGACCTGCCACTTACTCTGTGTTCACACTCAAGTACGAGGGCGATGAGAATTACTACAGTCGCATTCAGTACAAGTACAGGTATGCTAACAGTGGGTTTTCCCTGTAGCACTTTATATGTAGCACTTTATATTTTTACCCTGTAGTTACCCTGTAGCACTTTACCCTGTTACCCTGTAGCACTTTATATTTTTAATGAGATATAAAATCCAGCTTTGAGAAGTTTTAAGGTCTTAAGTTTTAAAGTTTTAAAATTTTTAAAAACGGATCCCCCTGGCTAAACTCTTCTAATTATGGCAAAAGTACAGAAGGCTTTGAATTTTTCATTTTAAAAAACATAGTCTCGAAACATTTTTTAAAACCCCAGTTTATAGTCATGATTTCTGGTCTTTCCAGGTATTTGTCTTGATACAGTAAATGTGTCTCTGTTTTATTTTGCGTAGTTTACTAATTTCTCACTGAAAAGAAACTAAGCTTGTCTTGTTTTTGTTTTGAATTAAAATAATCGACAAGTTCAAAATTGTTTCGTTTGCACTTAGCGCGAACTGACTCATTCATAAGCGCGTGTATCTTTTCTGATTAGGTTCAAGCGGGACTACATGTTCTACTTGATGGTCCTTGTGGTTCCCTCTATGATGCTCGGCTGTCTCCCCCTCCTCACTTTCCTACTCCCCTTCGAGTTCGGGGAGAAGATCTCCCTCGGCCTCACTGTACTTCTAGCACAAGTGGTAGAGCTGCTCGTACTCTCCGATATCATCCCTCCGACATCAAAAGCCAACTTCCCAGAATTGGGAAAGTTTGTGATCAGCCTGATCATTTTAATTTCGCTCTCCATCGTGGAATCGGTAGTCGTGACTGCAGTTTATTCTTTGACACCACAAACAAAAGTGCCGGCGCTTCTTAGAATCCTTTTGCGATCAAAAAACACAAATGAAGACCCGATGATTGATCACGTGATCACTCGAGGAAAAGAGAGCAGAAGTCGAGAATCGAACCCTGGAACATTAGAATTGGAAGCAATGCGAGAAAATGAGACGGATAACAAGGAAAGTAACCCAGAAAAGGAAAACGAATGTAAACTGATTCAGAATGACTGGCATTCTCTGGCGAAGCTGATTGACAAGGCAATGTTTGTAACTTATGCTGCGATGCTTGTGGTCGTGTTCGGGAAATTTTACATAGCTCTGAAATCTGATTGAGCTGTAAAAAGAACCCACAAGACTGATCAAAACTGTTACACGTTTCTTTCCTTGTACGGCCCAAACTTGCTAAATTTTGTATGAACTTCTGTTTTTATTGAAAAAGCAGATTACAATTTTCTGGAATTATTTTCATCAAACAGATTCGGGTATTAAAATCTATTTTTGAGATCATCAAAAAAATCAATTTTGGGCTGCATAACAGAAAGGACCGCTTACGTGATTAATCGTCATATTTTTTATTGTGCCTTATTAAGTTTACTACATTTTCGTGTGTAACTGCATGTTCATCCCCGTTAAGAAATTGATTGAAATTTAAGCTCGGAATTTCTACTACTGGGCTTGTTTGATGTTACCATTTACCGCGTAAACAGAAACTGATTTTCTGGTCTTGAGATCGTACAAAAACCATTGGAATTGGGTATATTCTCGTACTGGCTAGGCTAAGCGTATCGCAGTCAGAATTCGCATGAACAACTGAGCAGGTATATTCTTCCCGGGTCGAGGTGCTTGCGTTATGCTTTGACTTTAAAAGTCGAGCAAGGGCAATTTTTTGACTAAAGTTCCGCCGTCCAGAAGCAATTTTAAGCCGAGCACAAAGTCGAAAGATACCCAATTTTGGCCGAGAGAGTCAAGACTTAGGTCAAGCACAGTCGAAACAGACCCTATTTCGGTCGAGAAAGTCGTAACATAGGTCGACAATGTCGAAAACAGGTCGAGCACAGTTGAAACATAGGTCGAGCAGAAGTGACTTTTTTTCTTTATTAATCGTCCTATATTTGATTGTGCCTAACTATGTTTACTACATTGTCCTGTGTAATTACGTGTCATCCTCGTTAAGAAATTGATGCTTGAAATTTAAATTTAAAATTTCTACTGCTGCGCTTTTGTGATTTTACCAGTTTCCGCGGAAACAAAAACTGATTTTCTGGTCTTGAGATCGTGAAAAACCATTGGAATTGGGTATATTCTCGTACTGGCTAGGCTAAGCGTATCGCAGTCTCAATTCGCAAGAACAACTGATCAGGTAAATTGTTCCCGGGGCGAGATTCTTGCCTTATTCTTCGCCTTAAAAAGGATGCAAGTGCAGAATTTCGACTAGAGTTCCGTGGCCGAGAAGCATCTTTAAGCCGAGCACAAAGTCGAAACACACCCTTACCCGAGTTTGGCCGCAAGAGTCAAAACATAGTTCAAGCTCATTCGAAACTTGCCCAGTTTTGGTCGAGAAAGACAAAACAAAGGTCAGCACAGTCAGGGCATACCCTATTTTGGCCGAGAAAGTCGAAAGATAGGTCGAGCACAGTCAAAACATAGGTCCGGCAGAGTTCCAGTTAAGCTCACATTTTTGTGGCTTAGAGAGTTGAGATAATCATTACACATCCCATTGTTAGTCACCCCGCATTAAGCCAATTGGCGATTAATCAAATCATTTTTGTAATTGTTTTGTCTGTCGAGAAAGACGAGACAGTCAAAATTTGCCCATTTATGATCAAAAAGTCGAAACATATCTAAGCGGAGTCGAACAAACAATTATTTTTAAAATGTCGGTCGAGACAGTCCAGAAAATCTAAACATACTGAGTTTTGATCGAGAAACATATCTGAACTTGGTCGAACAAAATCGAAACTTTTTTGTTGGGTCGAAAAAGACGAAAAATACCAGAATGTGGTCGAGAAAGTCGAAAAATACCGAAACTTGATTGAGACGGTTGAAAAATACCGAAACTTGATTGAGACGGTTGAAAAATGCCGAAGCTTGGCAGAGACGGTCGCAACAAACCGATTTTTGTTCAAGAAAGCCGAAATATAAACCGAGCCCCTCGACATGGGTAACAACCAAGCAATCAAAACAAACAGTTACCAATAAAAAACAAAAGGCTATAACACGTAACAGGGCAAAACCTCTTATCTCTATAGTGTAACTTCGTCTTTCAGGCTTCTGATTGCTACTTGCCAAGGAGATTTAAGTCTGGCAGAGGCACGGCGGTGGCCGCTTTTCCAACCCCCTTCTTAGTTCAAAGGGTCCCTCTTGAGATAATGTTTTTTTATACCCATTTTCGTTCATCCGATACTACAATTTTTCAAGAGGCGCCTTTCGGACCAATAAGTAGGGGTTTTTTTTGACAAAATAAGGGTCATTATGGTGCTTTAACTCCGAAAGTCGATTTGGTCGGCCTAAAAAAGGTCATCAACGTTTTCGACCTTTTTTGAAAACACACCCCCCTCCACCCTCGAAAAAATCATACCCTGCCTCAATTTTAAAGTTCAGCATTAGTATGCAACCGGTTCGAAAAACCAAAAAACATGATTTATTTCTCGTAAACTTTTTCGAGATTCCTTTTTGAAAAAAACTGATTTCTGAGCTTCAAATTTTGTCCAGTACTGTTTCAGCTTTTCAAGAAATGCGGAAAATTTAAGCCTGAGGTTTTTTTTTCACTCATTTTTCGGCGATCAAAAAATAATTCATTCTAAAATCATTTTTAAACCAATTAAAGTTTCGAAGACTGCCAACTTGCCCATGCTCTGCACTAATTTATGCGTGCTCTGAAGATTCTATTCATAATGCTGAAAGCAAAACGCGAATTATTTATGCGTGGCAAATTGTCCGGTATAACAAAAGGGTTCCAAATTGAATTGAGGTGAATTAAGTGGTCACAGTAGCAGATTTAGAGGGGATGGGTTTTGGACCCACTAATCACCCAAAGGGTCCCCCGTTTACTTTTTGAGACATCCAATTTTGGCTAGCAGAATCTTGGCGCGCAAATTTTTTACTGAAGGCAGCTTCTTTGCCAAGATATATTAATTGAAGGGGGGTAGAGCGCGCGCCGAAAAATTGTGATTCACTGCTTGCTTTTTCAAAAGTTTCAGTGGCGCAGTAAAATTGGTCTGAACATTGTCTTCAATGGCTCGGGAAGATCGGAAAATCAATTTGGCCGAAGTATACAAAATAAACAAAATCCCTCTACAAGAAAATTCTAGATCCACTCGTTTTTGATTGTATTTGGTTCAAACTACTCATATTTTGACACATGCAGTCTTGTTGTTGTATGCAGTCTTGTTGTTCCTATTTTTAAGAAATGCTGAATATACCATCTGGAAAACATTGTTAACTCGATCAAAGTTATAATGATTTGAATTTGGGACTATTTTGACGACTGTAGCTCAAAATGGGACAATTTACACGCAATATATTTTGTTTTTAAAAAGCTTCAGCGGCATATGGAACCCTTCCAAGATGAACTGAGGCAGGCAATTTGGAATTATTATGCTGAAAATATATCTTTGGCTACTTGGCGAGCAGTACGTGGCTAGTGGAGCGATAAACTACGTGGCGAGATTTTCGAACGTGGCGAGAATTTAAAAACGCTTATTCGAAACATAGTTTGCAATTTTTTTGAACATTGATTTTTTTGAAATTTTTTCTAAAAACGCTTGTGATTGACAAAAGAGGGCAGTCGGAACATTCATGGCTTTGACTGAATTGCGAGCAGTCTTGTTTGTATTAGTTAGAGTTCGTCTTCCCTCTTCAAATTTGTCGGACGGTTTTGTCTATCGAAAAATGTTAAAATTGATATGGTTGGCAAATTCCGTCAAATTTCATTGACAATTTGGAGCGGGATAGTCAGTCTCTGTAAAGTTTTATAGCAATCAAATTTAATCTGATTGCTATAAAACTTAAATCATAATCAAATTTAATTTAAAATGGGTTGTTTTGATTCTAATTGTTTTGAAGTTAAAATATCTCTTTTAAATTCCTCATATTTGGCATCTGTGTTTTTTTTGCTTTTTTAGGAAATTTTAATGCAGTTTGAATCACTTTCTTTTTAAGTAAACCTGAAACTTTAACGCATTTCAAAATAACATGATCATTGCAATGGTTAGGTTGTGGTTTACTTTCGTTATGTACATAAAATGATGCCTATTTACTCCCCTCTTATTTGTCCCGCGTCTTTACATGTATTTCCCTACCACTACATATTTCTCTACCTTTAAAGGTTCTTTTTTTTTACTGAACTCGCCCTTCCATTTTTCCCCTCCCACCAACCCCCTGTCTTTACACTTATCCCTCTCTCCGCGAATAAGTGTGGGGGTGGGGTAATTGTCCCAGATAAAGTTGTTCGAAAGAGTGAAAAATGCCCAGAAAAAGTATCTCCAGACATTCGTGTCCCAAGTTTGCTCAACTTACAATAGCATTTTTTGTCAGCGCATGAAGGCAAGTTCTTGGTTTCCATGTATGAGCAACTATGAATAATCCATATTTGAATAAAACGCATGATAACAACTGGGGCAATTCTGTTAATTAGGTGGTGCGATAAATTTTTACAAAAAAAAAACAAACGTGAAAATTTACAATTTATTTTGCAACAAATTTATACATACTATAATCCAATATAAAGGAGTTTTTATGGATCTTCTTAACACTTACCACCCCTGTTAATAAAAGCAGTAAACTAGCGCTAGAGCTTTGTATTGAGACTTCTAATTTTGCTGCAATCTGATTGGTCGGAAATGCGTTATATTAATTTACTTAACAGTTGCCCCCCTTTCTTAAGGGGGGGGGCAATTGTTAAGTAGATCCTTTTAAATTAACTACATCCAATTAAAGAATTTTGAGTTAAGTAGATAAAATTATTTTGAAATCCGAATCAAATGAGCTATTTCGATGCGTTCATAGCGCGCAATCAATTGTTCCACTGAAATTTAGTTTTATATCAGTATCGAGAAAACGTTTGAAAAGAAAAAATCAGCAAAATAAAAAAAAGTTTTTGAGAAATTTTGTTTGGGCGGCAACCATTGCCTCGAGGAAAGCAGGCTACCACGGTGGGTCCTCTAGCCTTGTATCAGAACACCAAAAGTTTTTCTCCGCAGCACCTTAATAATGTTCGCAAAAGCTTTTTTTCAGTTTTATGGACTTTTTCAATCTGAAAGTA